TCTTACATAACTTTGTATGATACACACACACACTTGGACAAGATCCTTTTGTGGACTATATACAGAATCAGGCATCAATGGTTACTTTAGATAATATAGTCCCAGTGTGTCTAGATTTCCCTTCAGTGGCCATGCTGGCTAGTGGGAAAGAGAGAGAGACAGAGAAGGAGAGAGAGAATCATAGAATCATTGCATTGGAAGAGACCTCATGGGCCATCCAGTCCAACCCCCTGCCAAGAAGCAGGAAAATCACATTCAAAGCACCCCTGATAGATGGCCATCCAGCCATAAATGTCCCATAAATAATGGCATTAGTTCCATTTTTACTATTACCTTTTGGTCCCTTGAACAGTTTGATCTCGACAACCGTCTCCAAAATAGGTCTTCTTCGACGGACATATAGTCGCACTATGGAGCCAGCTTCTTTGAGGGCCTCAACAGCTTTGCTGTGCGACACCTCCGATACATCGACCTCGTTCACCCGCAAGATGCAATCATTGACTCTGGAGAGAAGGGGGAAATAACAAGAAGAGAGGTTGAAGGGTCTGATTTCAAAAGGAGAAAGCATTTCGTCAGCAGCACAAAACACATTCTTGGATTATTGGAATGTTTTCAAGGGAATGGGGCCGGCACAGACATGCAACGGAGGAATGCCCTTGTCTCGTGTACATAAGGAAAAGCCAGGTATTTCTGAAGTCTCATTGGCAGTCATTTATAAAAGTGGTTCCCTGGGGAACAACAACAACAAAACTTTCCTGTATGCTCAGCATGCTTTTTGCTAACTCTATTAAGAGGCAAACCTGTCTGTAATGAAATTGTATTGAAAGTCATTCTATTGCCTCCTGGAATTTTATTCCATAAGGAAATTAGTTATTGAGATTAATACACCTACGGCAAGCATCCGTCCAGCATTCAACACTGTGCAGCATTCACCTCTCCGAAAAGCAAAGTGCTCTTTGTTCATTTTAGTTCAATATAATAATATAATATAATGTAATATAATATAAATCATGTATCAGTGCATTTCAATTTGGTATTCTATTTTCCCCCAAATAACTCTGAATTATTAACCCTAGATTAGCTTTTCCCTCTGAGATGAGAGGTGAAACTATCAAGTAGCAATGCCCTGTTCTAATGTTTCTAGCATCCCCATCATCTATCACCATAATCTATTACCATTGGCTATGCTTCTCAAGATTGTTAAGAGTATTAAACATCCTAGGATTACTGAGAGATGTAAGTCAAAACATCTCAAGGTGGTCAGTTGAAACATTCACACCTAGCTCCAAAGGACAAGAGTTCTTTGTCCCACCCTGGTCATTCCACAGATATATAAACCCAATTTTCTTAGTTCCAACAGACCTCACTACCTCTGAGGATGCTTGCCATAGATGCAGCAAAATGTCAGGAGAGAATGCCTCTAGAAAATGGCCATATAGCCCGAAAAGACCTATAACAACCCAATCTAGAGCAGGGCTTCTCAACCTGTGGGTCCCCAGGTGTTTTGGTCTACAATTCCCAGAAATCCCAGCCAGTTTACCAGCTGTTAGGATTTCTGGGAGTTGAAGGCCAAAACATCTGGGGACCCACAGGTTGAGCACCACTGATTCAGAGGGAGACAATTGCCCATGCCTGCTCTAGAACAGGAACAGACACTTGTTAGAGGTCCAGGAGAAAATTCTCCCTCTGGGAACCTTGGCGATAGGAGGTTCATGGACAATAAAAAATGCAACCAAGAAAGTAAAACCCCTGGAGTGGTTGGAAGTTCACTTCCAGTTTTGAATATATGCAGAATACCTGCATCTAACGAATATATTATCTTGAGGAATTTTTTAGATTGTCCAGGTTTTTTTTCCATGTCAGAAGTAACTTGAGAAATTGCAAGTCATTTCTGGTGTGAGAGAATTGGCCATCTGCAGGGACGTTGGCTTGGGGACGTCTGGATGTTTTACCATCCTGTGAGAGGCTTATCTCATGTCTCTGCATGTGAAGCTGGAGCTGACTGATGAGAGATCACCCAGTCTCACAGATTCGAACCACCAACCTTTCAGTTAAGCAGTTCAGCCAGCACAAGGGTTTAACCCATTGTGCCACTGCACCATTGCGCACTGAAGTTTACCACAGAATGGCATTAGAGGACCTAGAACAGTGGTTCTTCACCTGGGGTCCCCAGATGTTTTTGGCCTTCAACTCCCAGAAATCCTAACAGCTGGTAAACAGGCTGGGATTTCTGGGAGTTGTAGGCCAAAACACCTGGGGACCCACAGGTTGAGAACCACTGACCTAGAAACTCCCAACAGAAGATTCAAGAAATGTTCTAGCTCCTTCAACATGGCTCTATCAAAACTTGTTAATTTCAGTGGGGTTCACTATTATTCACAGTTTCCTATTTCCATGGTAAGTTCAGGAACATAACCCCTCTGGAGATAAAGATCATATTGCATCCCTTAAACTTAAAGTAGCATGCTACTTTTTAAGTAGCATGGTCATTGATGGGCCTTATAACTTTGCCAGCTCATCCAGCAGTCTTAATTGTGTCACTGAATGTATGCATACAGAATGTCATCTGCAGCTAAACAACATACTTAAAGAAGGAGAAGTCTGTAATCCTGACCTAGAAACCAGAGCAACCACTAGCCAGATATTTCATCACAGGACATCATGGCCTGCCTGACTGGCACTGAGTGCCATCTCCTTCAGGCATTTTCTATAATTTATGGATTTATAGATTTAAGACACTAGTCTTAAGGCCTTGGCCTAGTTGATACTACAGGCAGAGCACTTCTTATCTGGAATTCTAAAGTCCAATATCCTTCAGAATTCAATATCAATGGTTTAATGCACCCAAACCTCCAGCGCAAAATGATTAGCATGTTATGTATTAAAGCATTATCAGGCTATGTTTGTAAGGGATATATGAAACATCAATAAAGTTCATTTTTGATTTGGGTCCCAACTCCAAGATATTTCATTATAAATATGCAAAAATTGCAAAATCTAAAATCCAAGCATTTCAGGGATGGGATATTCTACCTGTATCATTACCCACTGGAGAATACTGGAAGCATAATGTTCTGAGTGGCCAACTTAGATCCATCTCAGTTCTGTATTGAGCAACTGAAGAAGACGGAATTCTAAATGTTTTGTTCAACATATAGTTCTCTTTGTTAATCACTTCAATATGAATCATCTTCCAACTCATGATTTCTGCCTAGAGGACAATTCTTAACACCATCATCCATTTAAAGGTGTTGACGATGAAGTGTTCTTCACTGCCACCTTGCATGCAGCTCACTTTTGCTTTCAGCATATGAAGTAGGAAAAAACTGAGATGTTTTCCTGTTTTATTGATTTAAGTCCTTATTACATGAGCCTTTTCTCTTGCTATGATGGTGGAATCGGGAAGAACCATATTCAAATGGGTTTGATTTTTTTTTTACTATTATTTCAGAACCATGACAGACTGCAGCATTCAAGTACCCTAAAAACATATTGCATGCAACATTTTGGGCTAACCCCCCACTACTCTCCCCAAGGCATTATCCCCAACTTTTGGTTTGGAACAAACATACTTACTCCATCCATATCTGGAGATACGGCCTTTCAGACAGTCTGGCCACAAGCCATATAGGTTATGACCAGAAATTTGAGTTGTGCCCAGATGCAACAATGCCAACAAGAAAGAAAGATGGATGGACTTAATGAGACATGCTGCATTATCACAGGATGTCTACACCCTACACCACTGGAGAAATTATACTGTCCAGCCAGAGGCAGCCCTAGGTAAGCAAACAGTATCCCCCCGCCCAAACCAATCACTGACAAATATTTTCTGTTCGTCGTGGGGGTTCTGTGTGCCATATTTGGTTCAATTCCATCATTGGAGGAGTTCAGAATGCTCTTTGATTGTAGGTGAACTATACATCCCAGTAACTACAACTCGCATATGTCGAGGTCTATTTTCCCCCAAGAGCGCCCCAAGAGCGCCCCTGGGCAAAATCAAATATACTGCAAATGCTTACTTTGCGTAATGGGTTGAGCTACCCTGTGCCCAGCCGGTAGAGTACTACCTGACATCCGCTGGGAAGTGACAACCAATAGTGAAAGGACCAAGGCAGTGACATCTCCAGCCCATCCTCTGTTTGGATATCAGCCAGCACACCAATGTCTTATATCAAGAAATAGTTTTCTAAGATCTACAGAGATACTTGCAGGAACACCTCAACAAGTGAGAGCCCAGAAGTGGCAGGCTAAAATCCGGAACCTCAAGCCATGACAGATACCAGATGAGAGACTCCCTCCTGGGCACATAGAAGACTGAATGACTTGGAAGGTGCATAGTAGACTGCGCTCTGGCACCACAAGATGCAGAGCCAACCTTAAGAAATGGGGCCACAAAGTGGAGCCCACAACATGCGAGTGTGGAGAAGAGCAAGCCACAGACCACCTATTATAATGCAGCGTGAGCCCTGTTACATGCACAATAGAGGACCTTCTTATAGGAACACCAGAGGGCCTCCAAGTGGCCAGCTACTGTCAAAGGACATTTAGTATAACGCCAAGTTTTTTAAACTTTATTTTTTTAATACATTACAACTGTATCCTCAGTTCACTTCTGATATGATAAAAAAAATAAGCGAGGCACATCAATCTTTGGCAGAGAATGTAAAAGACTTTGTAAAACTACAACTCCATGACTCCATAGCACTTAGCCATGGCAGTTAAAACGGCATCATACTGCATTAACTCTACAGTATAGATGCAACCGCTGCTTCAGGCTGACATATTTGATCTTATTTTGATAGCAGTCCCCCCAAGCTGTTTGTTGCTACTAATTTTACAAGATCTTCTCTGCTAAAGATTGCTGTTGCCTCCCAGGATTCCATAGCATTGAGCCATGGCAGTTAAAGTGGTGTCAAAAACTGTATTACTTCTGCAGCGAAGAGCTGGCCTTAGTTGGCAGACATAACAGATGCATATAAAAGAGCAGTAGCTATGGCTTTGAAAAGATCCTACTATTTCCATTTAGAAGATAATGAGCCTTACCTATAAAATGCACACACCTCAGCAAGATGGAGTATTTCTATTCCTCTTGTTGATGAGAGGAATTCCAGTTGGCAATGACTCAAACCTACAATATTTAATGGAGCAGAAGTACAGAAGGTGTGGTATCCCTCTTTCTCCTCCATCTCCCACAGATGTACCAAGCAGCAATTTTGTCACTGCACTGAATACTAATCAACGCTTTCCATCTGAAGACCTGAAATTCAGGATCAGCTCCATTTAGCTTGCAACACAGAAAGGCTGGCCAAAGACATTTTACGACCTAAAGTGAAGAACAAGATGGCACCATCTCCTATGCCATGTACAGAGACAGATTTGACTGATGGCTGAATTTCCACCAAAGTCAGGTAGAACACCTGCTGAGTAAAGAAGTGGTCAGGGTTGGATACATGACAGCCACCACTTTGTTACACACTATCATGCCACTGACTTCTCCTCA